GAACTCATTATAATCAGTGATGCTGTCTACACCATAGATATATATACATATCTATGGTCTACACTGGATGCGGCGCGACAAGACAAATCCCAGACAGAAAACTGCTGCTGCGTCCTATTCATGACGTATTGACACATATTTCAAATGATTTTCAACGGTCGCTTTGTCGTGTCCAGTGTACTAATCAGACGTTAGCTGTTGGGGTGCAGACACGGTGTTACTCACCTATCGAGAAGAAACAAAGCAACCTCGGCGTCCGATCGCAGGCCTTCCGCTCCTTGAGTTCTCTCCAGCGCTGAAATGCTGCTACAATATTTACATGGGTCCTAATTCTTGCCTTAAGCCTTCGTTTGTTCTGCAGACGTTTTCCTCTTTTGTTTTTTATCCACCATCTCTATCTTTCTGTCGCTCGGCTCGGCTAATGTCCATTCTGTACACTGAACGTGCTCTCCTCCACATCATGAGTAGACACACCCCTTACTGCTGATTGGCTACAAGTTTGTTTTGCTATTCGGGCAAAAAAAAAATAGCTTACCCCACCTTTAATAGTCAAGTCACCATTATTTTTCTGGCCAGAGGAAACCAGCAGTTTAATAATAAGATTCAACTATATTTTGATTGCCACTGGATTACTTAGCATTTTAATAACCAGCAGTTTAATAGTAAAATTCATCTATATATTGATTACCACTGGATTACTTAGAGGTAATTAAAAATATATTTGTACTAACATACACCAGTTAGTTTTAAGTACTAAATGTTAAAACTGCTTGCCGCAACACACCTCATGAAAACGGGGGTATAGGTAATTCTCTCTCTGCAGCGCCATAAACCTCTGGAATTCACGGTTAAGAGATTGAGGTTAAATTGATGAATTTCTGCAACACAAAAATAATTATTTATGCATTTAAGCAAGAGTAGCAAGTCGGAGAATTATTAAAGAATTAGTTAAGGTGATTGTAATATTGCAGGCAATAATTAAAGTGGACTCAGCTCAGATCTAATGGCTGGACAGCTGTTCTTAACCAACACATTTTTGAAGCATAAGTTTTGAATCAAATTAGGATGTAATAATGTACATGACAATCACATTAAATAAAACCGTTGCATGTAATTTGGTATGCATGACTTTTGCATGACTATTGTTAGTGGCTATTGTCGAGTGCAACGAAAGACAGGCCATTTTCATTCCTTTCTCATTCCGAATTTCATTCTCACTGTTAATGTACTTGCTCCATCTAGTGGATGTGTCCTGTAACTGTCAGCTAGGCAATATTTGGAAAGAGTATAAAACAAAATAATAAAATTAGAACAATGGACGCGAAAGTAAAAATGTTGTTAAATAAGAATTACTTTGAGAATTATTTTGAACCGAAGATAAAAAAAAAGAATAACTTTAAAATAAAAAAGTTAAAATAATATAGGCCTAAATGAAAACAGAAAAAAAAGACAAAGAAGAAATCTCATTATGTATCCCAAAACACTGTAAAGGAATGTGGCTTTTCCGTCAAATTTAAAGAACAGCTTGTGGGAATTGGGCAGAGTATTCTGCTTACCGTTTGTACACTTCTTTTGTCATCTCTTTCTTTTCTCCTCACCTTCATTGTGGTCGTTCTTTCTCATCATGTGTGGTGAGCAAGTCACGTGACGCAACTGCCTCTTCTCTCTCTCTCTCTCTCTCTCTCTCTCTCTCTCTCTCTCACACACACAAAACACACGCATGTTCTCACTCTCTATCTCTGTCTCAACCTAACAACACACTCACTGTGCTCAAACATAAACAAAGATAAAAAAGGACATGCACATATACAGGATACACAGATACAAATTTACATGTTCACAATTTGTGTTGAAGAGGGAAACTTTCTACTCACAGTTTTAAACAACATGAGTTTTGTTTTATAGACAGGCATTCAAAAATCTACAGAAACCCAATAAAACTGCAGTAACATGACATTATGATTAAAACGTCAATCGATTTATGAGGACCTCCACATATCAATTTTGCAAGCTATGTTGATACATATCTTTTCAAAGCTTTTGTTTTAAAGAATGTCATAAAGATGTACTCATATTGATTAAAAAACATAAATTGTGGCACACTGTAAAAAAATTACTTTTCAAAGTAATTATTGGAGTATGTTTTAAAAGAAAATAACATTTGAGTTTTTTCTGCTTCAAAATCTCACGTTGAATTCAATGTGTTACTTTCTGATTCTTTGTAATTGTTTGTGAAATTTACTGACAATTTCTGATGCAACTGGGTTTTTCCACTAATTTTTTTTTCTAGTGCAAGGCAACTTTTCACAAGCAATTTGTCAGGTTGTTTATTTGAGCTTTAGTACATCAGCTAAATATTTCACAAGAAGGTTGAAAATGAAATCTGCACACAATCACTAACAGTTCACTATCAGTTCTTTGCCTGTGACCTTTACCGCTCTCTTTCTCTCGCACTCACACATGCATTTAAACAGGATGAGGCAGAAACACTTAAGAACAGATAGGAAGAGGTAGCATTTTACATCCTGCACTTGAGAATGGACTTTGACTACCAAAAGATTAAAGGTCAGCTATCTCTCAACACCTTTTGAACTTATAAAATCATATGTGTTTTATTACAAAAAAATAACAAAACACAACCTGATGGTTTTAAGAAGTTGTTTTTACTTGTTTCTTCTGACGGTACACTGACGACTGGAAATACTTTCTTTTAAAATCTTAAAATGTCCGTATTTATTAGAATGTCAGATACAGCTGTTATTTTGACAAGGTTATACTTATTTAATTAATCATTTTGTGAAGGTAAATATATTTTTTAGGTTTAGTGTCAGGATGAAGCTATATGGTGCTCAAGCTATGCTTATTTTGTTTTAATGTGTTAAAATAGACTATAGGCAATCTAGCATTAATATAGAATTGAGAGTTAGTTTAAAAGAACAGAAATTGACTAGACTTTGTGTAGTATAAAATGACAATCCAAATCTACATGATATTCTACTATTATATTACTATACTATATAATGCTTAGGAACTGATTCTGACTGAATGGCTATACCATAATCTTTCAACAGCATTAATGTTACACAGAGCCTTTAATATTTGTAACATTATTGTTTTGTTGATTGTTTGGTATCTAATGTTCTGTGTTGCTGGCGTGCTTAGAACGTGACATTTCCGTTCAGGGTTATTTTGAGCCTGACTGTACTGGTGTGATTCTAACTGTATCTCAGCTTCTAAATTTTGCACACTGACATCTATATTTATATTTAGATACTAACATCTACAAGCTAATATTAAATATCTGAATGTATTTAAAGATAAATACATACATTCAAAAGGCAGTGAACAGTCAGATCGAAGGTTGAAAGAACTATTAAGAGAATCATTTTAACAAATTAAATTTGTTCACATCCATCTTTCATTTATTGTTGATGAGTTTTTCAATACTGTCTGCTTTAACGATCAAATTCAGAATTTATTTTATTTCTGTACAGATGCTGAATCTCAGCAGAGAGAAGAGCGATTGAGCGCCCTTCCTTCCCATTACCCAAGACCAAAGCCCCGTCCATCTGTAGCTCCAGAGAACCATCCCACAACCAAGAAACCTCCCGTAAAACCCCGGCGGAGCATAAAGTGTCGTCCCACAGCTCAACAAGAGACAGAGCAATTAAACCAGGGCCAGCAGAAGGAAAATGAGGTGAATCTGTCAAGTAATAAATGTGTAGACATGATGTAAAAATGTCTGCAAAGCTTAGTACCACAGATTTTCTATTGTATGTATATATATACAGTATATATATATATATATATATATATATAATTTTTTTTTATACTTCTAATATCCTCAAAGGCAAAATGTGCATGTGCTACAATTTCTTCAAAACAAAAACACTTCTATCAGCGGTTCGGCTGTTCTATCTCTAAAGAGCCTTTTGAAGCAAAGAAATAGCAGGTTGGTCAGTCGACCAACGACAAGGTCAAAACTGACAACACTTTTCATTTTTAGGCCAAATTTATTATGTACAATATTTTAAAGCATTCTCAAATAATCAGTGAGAGAGTAGCTGGTTAGATTTCATGAGATGTTTAATGTGACATGATCACGTCTTTAACCAAAGTGATCCGCCCTGTAAATATTATTTGCACATCTTGCGGGGGGCTTCTGAAGTCATTTTCAAAATCACGTCAAGCTGATTTCAATTTTTGTAGAGCATTTATTCACATTATCTACAAATTATTCTTTTTTTGGAATGCTTAAGTCTATTTCCATGTTTATGTTCATCATGAGATTTTTGTAGTTGAAAGTTTCACAGTACTAGTAAGAAAAACCATGAAAACATTTGACATTGTAATGCACTGCAAAGGCACATATCAAGTAGTATTTCGTCTTTTTAAATATTTTTTAAATGTTTTTTAAATTGTATTTAAATTACATCTAAATTACATCCTACTTGGATTCCCTCTGTTAAAGACGACAGTGAAGCGGATAGATCCTGCTCTGGTTTTGGGTCCCGTGAGGCCCCTGGAGGCTCTGACTCCATCTCTGCGCGCTCACACTCTGCTGTGGTTTGAAAGAACGCAGCTGCCACGACTGCACAGGCCAGGACAGCCTCTTCCCCGCTGGCTCCATGGTTTCACTACACGCAGGTTACAGCCACATCTAAATATTCTTCCAAAAACATAACAGAAAAACAGGTGCACAAGCAATGTTGCACAAACACAGATGTGAAACAGTGTCAAATACATATACTATTCGGCTTACATTTTCACACAACCCATCTTTCTCACTCTCTCAGGGAAGCGGAACAGCTGCTGCAGGATAAGCCACAAGGCTGTTTCCTGTTGAGGCTCAGCGAGTCAAAGATTGGCTTTGCGCTGTCTTACAGGTACCTTATTTTGAACACACACACTAAAAAACACTAGTGTCATTCTTAACAATATAGTACATAACTATAAAGAACGATTAGCATCCACACCAATTCAAGATAAGATTACATTTTTTAGATTTTTGAATTTTTCACTCATCAGCTAGAAAAAAAATCATTCTAAAAGTGATTCCAAAGATATTGTTCCACATTGCTGTTATTGCTGGACCTATTCTCATAGAATTAGAAAACTGTATAGAAACTGTATAGTTACAGTTATCATCCTTGGTGTAAATGGGCCTTAAAAATGTGATTGGGTTGGATTAAAAAATTGTTCAATATAAATTAATAAGCAAAATTAACCATAATGCAACAAACAGTAGTGGTGTTTTGTTCCTGATTGTGTCAGAGTTTGAACAAACTGGTTGTGTGAATGATTCAATGACTCACTAATAAAATAGTTTATTTCTTTTGTTCTTGTATGAGTCAATGTTTAAACAAATCAGTTGAGTAAATGTTTTAAACTCACTCATAAAGACAGACTCGCTCATCACCTACTGGCATACTAATGTAAGCTGTATGAAGAGTCACCATTGCACAATTGAAAAGTCAAAAATGTGACCAACTGACAGCCTGTAAATTGTTGTGTACAACAAAATATCAAATCAGGTGTCATTTGCACACAAATGATGTTTGTCCTTTTCTCAAAACTAACTTTACCCTTTAATAGGCCATTTTTTCAATTGCAATACTTTTCCCCAAAACTTCACCAACTATTTTTATTTAAAACCTAAACGTAAAAAATATTTTTCTTGAACAGTGTGCTTCTGTTTATTTTAAAATACTTGTATATCAGTAAAATACTAGTGTATCTTACTTACAGATGCAATCTAATGCAATGACATTAGGCTATGCTGTGTGTTCAACTACGTTGTGGTGTCATTGTACGTATTTGCAACATCTCTAATATCACTCACTCATTAAATAACAAATTCATTAAAACCCCAGAGGAGAAGACCGGTGTCGTCATTTCATAATTGAAGAGGAGGAGTATGGATCATCTGGTAGTGTATATCTAATTGCTGGAGAACACAGCCGTCATAGAAGCCTGGACGACCTAATCAGCTACTACACCCATAATCCTGTGGGGCCTTTTAATGAGATGTTGACTGTACCCTGTATGCAGGTACATGGACAGTTTTCCCTAGCGAATCTTCATGATTTTAATACAGAAGGGGAGATATTAAAGATGATTTTACATATGGTTGTCCTGTCATCTCACTTCATATCCTGTTATGTTTTCTTACTATCTAGCCTGATGGGGGTTTTGCGGAAATTAATAGGTGGAGGGTGAAAGATGAGGAAGAAGAGAGAAATGGAAAAGCAATAGATCGAGAGGAGCAGACAAAACTGCCCATGGCCATCGGTCCAGCTGTTCTGAATTCATTACCCACAAACCCCTCCAGTAAGACCGCTTCTGCTACAGAAGAGCCTGTGCAGTATGCAGCCGTGAGAAAGCCACTAAAAAAGACCCACTCGCTGCCAGAATGCAAGTGTGGAACTGAAACAGCGCCTCCTGGGCTAGAAGTGAGTAGATTACAGGCATTGAAAGCAAAAAGCAGAATCTCTTTTTTTTCCTCTCACATTCCTTATATTACGCTTTGAGGGATAATAAAACAGATAAGAAATCCTATAGACCCTATATAGACTTATTTCAAAGTCATATCTGTGGACAAGAAAATCATCAAGGTGGGTTCTTGGTTGAGCATCTTCTTTTGGATAGTAAGCACCCTCACACCCTAGCAACCACGAAGAACATCGTAGAGACCGAATAGCAACGAGCTAAAAATCGCTTCTTACCTTACCAACAGTAAGCAAACTCTAAGAATATTCCAGCACCAATTTTACACCGTCAATAGAATTTTTCTTCATATAAACCAGATCTGTTTACGTGTGATGCAGTAACAAGACCGTGTACGGTGGCATAATGCCAAGAAAAACATCCTTTGTCGCCTATCCCTAACCCTAACCCTAACTACACGAACAAACAAACATGCTACGCGACAAGTGTAGTATACTCTGATTTAGGAACCAATGATTCGTTTCAATTTAGTGAATCAAAAACCATGCTGCTAATCCGAATCCCGAAGCAACTGATTCTTTGAATTAATACTTCTAAAGGCGAGTTAACTAACTCCAGAAACAACTCACATTTGCTAGATAACAAAACTTAGGTACACCGCTTCTGTTGCCTTGTGCCATACTGTTGTATTTGTGTGATGTGCATTACACAAAGCTTACCCTTACTAAAATTAACCATGATTTTACTACAAATAGCCTATACCCCCAAAAAACATGGTAACCACAAATTAACCATGGTTTTGCTACACTAACCAGTTTATTCATGTTATTTGTAGTAATTAACTGTGGTTATACAAATGCTAATATGGCAAAAAAACAAAAGAAAGAAAGAAAGAAAAGAAAACATGGTTACTACACGTTTACCATAATAAAACCATGGTTTATTGTCCTAAGGGTAAAGAGAGGAAGAGTTTAGTTATGACTTTTTTTATTTAAGTGTTTAATGTCAAAGTTATAATATTATACACTAACAGGACACCTTACCCTTTTCCTCCCTCTAGAATGGCAGTTCTGAGGTTGCTGAAAGACCCTCAAATCTTAATCTAACAGGGGATCAAATTTCTCCTGTGGATGTCCAGTATGCTCGAGTTAACAAACCCCCCAGAGCAGTAACAGAAAATACCCCCAACTTCAGTGCCCAACCTGACCTCCAGGGAGCAACAGCAGCCTTTACCCCTCCATCCATCCCAAACTTTGACACAACAGCAGCAGACCCAAAATACTGGAAACTGGAGCCCATGCACACTTATGAAGAAACCCCCCACACACACAGTCGTCTAGAAGAGATTGACTGCTATGCCGTGGGGTGGAGGAGGCAGGCGGCAGGGGATGAAGGTGAGAAATGAGGAAAACAAGCATCAAAACTGGCTCAGGACTTACTAGTTTTGAACATTTCCTGTCTTGGAGTTCAAATATAAAAATGATTTGAAATGGTTTCAAAAGAAACCATGCACTAAGTAGTCACTAAAATAATATATATATAAAACATATAAATGCTTATTTGGTGCATGTTTTGACCTTTTCTTCAGTGAACCTTCCAAAGAATCATCTGTATTCAGAGGTGAACATCAGGGGTGCCCAAGACGGCTTTGCTGTACCAAGACCCGGGCCTAGTCTTCCTCTAAGACCACCCCCAAGATCTGCTCATGGTCCTTTGCGACCAGAGCTCAGCGGGCAGGTAAATATCCATGATGAGAATATTTTATGAAGATATTCTGTGTAGTATATAGTGCTCAATCTCTTATAAAAATGCGGAATTTTATGATTTTTTCCTCAGAGTTTTGGTGTGTCCCCACTGATGACTCAACCACAACACTCTGGTTTTCATCATTCAGAGGAAGCAAATCTGAATGCTTCCTCCAGCTCCATTTATGAGCAGATTCCAGAAAGACCAACCAGCACTAGAGCATGTCTGCCCGCACCAAATCACAAACGCTGACCTCAGGATTATATAGACCTTTGACTTCACCAAAAGAGTGTTTCATTTGTAAACACTATGTATAACGAGATTAAAACCAGCAGTGATATTAGGATGACATACTGTATATGTGTACCAAAACATTACATTGCTTATAAGCTGTATATACATTTATAAGTCTTGTTAATAGTGATCTCACCATCACTATTGTAGGCATGTTTATCTGTTTTTCATTTATTTAAATTGTATCTGAATATAGTTTTTTCATAGAATCAGTCACTCATTCAGTTATAATTGCACAGTAAATAATTTCAGAATCATTTTTAATCAAATATATTATGATTACCAACTACAGATTTTGTTTCAGTGAATTGCAGCCCTCCCTATTCATTTTTAATTACCTAAAGATAATAGCTTCAAGTGAGGTTTGATAGACCATAATATAACTAGCTTGAATTATTTAGCTGATGATATTACCATAAAAGAGTATGCACTAATCACTGCATGAGAAGAACATCACAGAACAAGGCAGACACACAGATGAAAGCATATTTCGGTGAGTGACCAGACACACAACGAGCATCTCTGTAAAACCCTTTTATTTCCACAAACAAGCCCCACATTGGTCATGAAGGACTGTGCAGTTCTGTTTAGCATTTGAGAATCATTACAAAAAAAACACACAAAAAATAAGATGGTGTACCTGAAGTCACCATGGAATGGCCACTTTAAATATCAAAGTGACCAGACACACAACGAGCATCTCTGTAAAACCCTTTTATTTCCACAAACAAGCCCCACATTGGTCATGAAGGACTGCGCAGTTCTGTTTAGCATTTGAGAATCATTAAAAAAAAAACACACAAAAAATAAGATGGTGTACCTGAAGCCACCATGGAATGGCCACTTTAAATATCAAAAGCAGTTGGTGAACCTCCTATTTGATGCTTATCCCTCAAACAAATTTTCTGATGAAGATCAACATAACTTAAAAACAGATTAAATCATTGACCATTTACCCCAATATGGGTAATTAATTTATTCAAAAACAACATTCTCAACTCTACCATAATTCACTTAACACCCCCACCCACCCATTCACACAATGATCCCTAATCTGTTTTTGTCTTGTATTAGATAACTCAGTTCTTTTTGCTCTTCGGTGAGTCGTACTTCCTCTTGCTGGAGTACCAAAGGAGCAGAGGAATGCCAATGGAGGGAAGGGTCATGACACCAAAAGCTGCCCAGTCCAGCTTTTAGAAAAACAGAGATTAGATTTCAATATAACAGCACAGGCAATCATACATTTAAAGACCATTATACACAATTTTCTATATTAAAACACTTACGTAATGTGGAGAAAAGCGTCTGTCAAACTCTCTCTGGGCGAGGATGCCTCCCTGACCTGGAGCACTTGTGTAACCAACCTGATCAATGTGAGAAAAGTCTTAGCTAACAGCCAGTAACTACATTTACATGGACTGTAATAATAAAACATTTTGCCAAATGTTGATTTTTGGCATTAAGATAGTAAAAAATTTTCCCTCAATATAATCGCTAATTTAGGCACAGTAAAAACAACAATAACAACATTTCCTTATGCTGACTGTGTATATGAAAGGTAGCATTGGACTCCACTCACCACAACCTGTCCACCCTCCTGGGCCAGGTAACTAACAGAAGCAGAGGTGAAGTTGAAGTATCCAGCTTTTAGAGGCCGCAGAACCACTGTGTGAGAAACGTTACTGGCACTGTGGAGAGGATGAGTTAAGGAACATAATCTACTAAAAAACAAAAATAAATAAAGCATCCCATCCTGAGTGTCTGATACAGTACTGATGATGTTAGGTGCTATCAGTAACAGACAGAAGAGATTGATTGAAGGCTTAATTGGATTACTAAAAGTGTGTAAAGTACTCATAATGCACTTAAAAGTTAAAACAAAAAAAATAGCATACATACATTTATTATTAGAACATCAAGTCAACATGAAAACTCAATGGAAAAAAAAAAAATCCCTCTCTCTCTCTCCATCAACAAAAAGGTACAGTACACAGGACAGCGATTGCTTAGAGGATACGGAGCAATACGATCCCATTTCACATTGAGCATTCCTGAGACAATGCCGAAATCTTCAGGGGGGAATGAGTCATCGGACAGCTCAACCTCCAGGGCAGCACTAGAAAAAAAGAAAATACATTCTAAAATGTATTCTAATAAGATTCTACATAAAATAGATTCTAATACCACTAATACTGATAGTGGTAACCCAGTGATGTGCTGAACTTCTGAAACAGAGAGAGAACAATACCTGGTGCCCACATTGTAGATGTTGTACAGCAGGGTAAGATCTCGTCCTTCTACAGCATATCGGTTCAGCAGGGACTTGGAGGCTAACAGACGAGCTCCTTCTTCTCCTGCCACCAGACCCACCACAGCAACCAGAGCTAATATACAGAGCAGCCTCATCTGTGGAGGGAAATGGCATATTTAATGATTAAACGAATATCTAATTTTGTTGCATAAAATGACACAACAGAAATGATAATACTATTGTTAGAAAACGATTTCAACAAGTCACTTGATTTAAAAAACCCTCTAGATTCACTCATACAGTGACGTAAGATAGTATATAGAATGCATTCTATTAGGAGTAAAAACATGGAGCATTAAAAACGTGTCCGACAGTGCAGCAATGAATGAATGAATTTTTCAAATAATGCTTATGTTTGCAACTTACAGTTCTATAATAAACAAACCCATAAATAAATCTAAAACACCTTTTAAATTCAGATTTACTTGTTTTAAAACTACGACACTTCATTCATTAATTATGCTTACGTGTACAGCAAGCCCACAACAAACTAATTAATTTCATCATAATTATCGTACCGAGCACAAATAATTGTTTTTAATGCACTATATTAAAAACATTTATTGATAGACTAAGCTCAATTAATCTACTATATATCAAAAATGTGACAAACATGGATTACGTGTACTACACAATCGCCCTGAATTATATTATTATACAGACAACGTCGACTGCTTGCGTATAACGTACAGCATAAAGACAAAACATATTGTAATGTGTCATTCACAGCATATTTAGTTGTTAAAAAAAGAAAATATTTAGCAGCCACTTTACCTTCGTCCGCTGGTTTGAACCCCAAAATTACGAAGACAGTTGAACGCACGCTCAGATGATTTTACTCTTCCGCAAGCATGACGTGTCCACAGTGTGTACGGAAACACTCTAAAACCCACAGCGCCGCCTACTGCTTCGGCTTGAAGAAGTCTAATGAA